AAAAAAAAAAAAAAAAGACGAAGTCAAAGCTTAACAATTGAAAATATTACATATGAAAATGTACGAACACCAGTTTTATGAAAAGATTATAAAATCAAAGAAGTAAAAAACAGGCCACCAGAATTCGTTTCAAAATTCGCCCTCTGTTTCTCATCTTTTATTAAGCTATTTACTTGCGATCAAATACGTAACTGTCGCACTAAAATCAACAACTGACCACATTAAACATATTACATGTTCCAAGCTATCCGAGTTATTTAGTGTCTAAGCAGAAAAAAAAACTAAAAATATAATGTAAATTTTTCCATTCTCTTCCGAATAACTTTTCAGGTTTGGTTTTTCAATACAAAATTTTACACTTTACGCTAACTATTTGTATGCAGCCGGTTAAATGCTGACTGAGTGGGTGAATAACTGAAGTAAGCAACATCGTAAACATTTTGCAAACGATCGTCAGTAAGGGCGTTGTTGAACTGATCAACCACCAGCCAACAATACACCCAATCAGTTATTCACCGACGATAGTAAATACTGTTTGGGAGATTATCTGAGTACCGAAGAATATCTAGACAAATAATTTTGACAAAATTTCTTTTCGACTATTACTTAAGGTGCTCTATTAAAATTTCCATATCCCGATACTTTTCTCGGATGATGCAGTGTAAATTTGTAATAATTGCATTGATAAGTTACGAGAACAACCTTTATTGCAGAAGAAAACGGAATCAGACAGACTCATCAACAATCCGGATATAAATATTTCGTGTAGTACTTTAGAATTTTTTTTTTTTTGCTTATAAATGTGAAGAGACAGAAAATCGAAAAAAAAGAGGAAAAAAAAAACATTTCATCATCTTTGATTAATTTCTTTTACTTGACAACTGAAGACAAGCATAAAATAATTTTTTTCCACTAACGTAACTATGACGTAAATCAAATACAAATCTTGAAATATAATTTTGATGCATTTTAAATATATATTTATTTATAAGCAGGTCTTTCCTTATTTTTTTTTTCTCATCTTTAATATATATAAATAGTAACCCACGCAGACACAGATACAATCTTCGTTTAGCAATAAGTTTTGTCAGTTTTTATCCGGTCAATCATCTCAAACGATAAGTCATAGCGAGAAAATGTGCAACAAATTTTCTAAAGTTCTACTAATTTTCATTATCAACGCTAACTGTTATAAGCGATAAAATCATTGAAATTACAAAAAAACCTTCTCAACCTCATCCCTGCAGTCGTCAGCAATAAATTTTTTTACTACTTCTAACAGAACGTAAATTACTAGTAAAATTATCAACTGAACCGTACACTTTTGCACCTACCACTACAGTCAAAGACAATAACAAATGCCGTACGGTGAGCCACTTAGCTTAATAACTTCCCAAAAGACAGTGTTTACAAAAAAAAGTATATACAGACAAGACTGTAGCTATCGCTTTCAAAATATTAAATTTGCTCACTATCAACCTTTTCAATCTGCAGTTTCATTCCGTA